TCTTGTTTGCAACGTGTTCCTGTGGACTATTTCCTTCCTTTGGACTTGAGTTTTGCTGTTTGTGTTTTGGACTTATTGACAGGTTTGTCACCCAAATAAAAGGGATTTTGTTTTGTTTTAAAGTCTCCAGCCTATTGTATCAGCAGGGGTTTGGTCCTTGTGCCTCTAACAAGGACGGCAATAGGCTGGGATAGAACAGATGTAGCGGGAGAACTATGCTTTCATACTTGCAGGACTGATGTCAGCCTTACTATGTAGACTAGACAGGAAACTCAAGCCGGATAAACTAATTCTACTTTATTATGAATGAGTTTTTATTTTTGAATTCTCTCCTCCCTCTTTTCCTCTCTATCTCAATATCCTTATTCTGTAAGGAGTTATTTGCTTGTGGGGTTTTTTTTTTCAATTGGAAAGGGGGGAACAAAAGGGACTTTGTACTTCTGCAAAAGGCAATATTCTTCTGGAGATTTAAGAACCAACTCCAAAAGGCCCAGATCAGTCCCTATTACAGGGGGAAAACAGAACCGCCTGGAACAAGCAGCTTCACGTTGCATGTTTTGTGTGTTTATGTACAATATGCATGTACTTAAATTTATTATAGCCACCCATTCCAGCAAGTTCTGGGCAGCTTACAAAATCTACTGCTAAGTTAAAACCATTAAAAACATAAACAGCCATTGAAACACAGCTTCCCCCTTACTGTTAGTTCTTGCACATTAATAAGCATCCATTGTGAGCCAAATTTCATTTCTGCTAGAGAACAAAATAAGTTATATTGCAGAAAAATGAAGTCATGTGGTCAAATTCAGGTTTTTAAGGGCGAATTGCAAGAGGGGGATGCGGGCACGTATAAAGCCCCAGCTAGAAGGACCTTGAAGCAAATGGGGCTACGTTACAGCTGCAGGCCCCATCCCTGGTGTGGGGGCTTCCTTATGGGGAGCCTGTTTGGGGCAGAATCAGCCAGTCAGCTCCGAATCCCCACACAAGCTGAAGCCCCACTGATAGTGGTGAATGCTCCAACACTGGAAGTTTTTAAGAAGAGACTGGATAGCCATTTGTCCGAAATTTTACAATGCCTTGGTAAGGCCACACTTGGACTACTGCATCCAGTTTTGGTCACCACGATGTAAAAAAGATGTTGAGACTCTAGAAAGAGTACAGAGAAGAGCAACAAAGATGATTAGGGGACTGGAGGCTAAAGCATATAAGGAACGGTTGCTGGAATTGGGAATGTCTAGTTTAATGAAGAGAAGGACGAGGGGGGACATGATAGCAGCGTTCCAATATCTCAGGGGCTGCCACAAAGAAGAGGGAGTCAAGCTATTTTCCAAAGCGCCTGAAGGCAGGACAAGAAGCAACGGATGGAAACTGATCAAGGAGAGAAGCAACCTAGAACTAAGGAGAAACTTTCTGACAGTTAGAACAATTAACCAATGGAACAACCTGCCTCCAGAAGTGGTGAATGCTTCAACACTGGAAGTTTTTAAGAAGAGACTGGACAGCCATTTGTCTGAAATGGTATAGGGTTTCCTGCCTGAGCAGGGGGTTGGACTAGATGACCTCCAAGGTCCCTTCCAACTTTTTATTATTATTATTATTATTATTATTATTATTATTATTATTATTATTATTATTATTATTATTATTATTATTATTATTATTATTATTATTATTATTATTATTATTATTATGTGAGACTTGGCCAGGAACCATCCCAAGATTTTTATGTTCACACTGCTTCATGGTTTTGGTAAGGTGATAGTGATTGTCCAGCGAATACCAAGAGATTATCACCATTTGAAATTTGAAGAAATATGTGGAAGGCTATACTTTACCCCAAAGGGTTGTGCTATCCACCCTGTCTGCATCTAGAAAAAAAAAGGAGAAAATTAAGCAATGAATTAACCTGGATACGATAGTTTAAAACATGCCTCTAGGCAAACTTTTAAATTTTACAGTAAACCATATATACACCTTGGGTTTTCAGTTTCATTAATAACTTAGTTCTGTTTTATTGTTAGTAACGCTTCTCCTTAGCAAAGGAAGGCACAGAAGCGGAAAGAGAATGTTTGTGGCTCAAGTTGAACTGTGGGGTCCTTGGTGCTCTCTGAGCTTGATTATTTTCTTGCAGACATTTCATTACCAAACTGGGTAACATCATCAGTGCTAGAAGAGAGGGGTTTACTCTCAAACCGAGAACAACCGATCTCAGAGAGCACAAAAGACCCCATAGTCATAGAAGAGACACTCTTGGAACAATAGATTGCAATTAGCAGAATTATTAAATTACAGTATTTCTCCTTTGTGATGCCAGTGTCCTTCCTTCCTTCCTTCCTTCCTTCCTTCCTTCCTTCCTTCCTTCCTTCCTTCCTTCCTTCCTTCCTTCCTTCGACCTAAACATATACAAATAATATACTGCAATGTATGCTTTGACCTAAGACGGGTAGGCAACCTTGGCTCTTTTATGGCTCGTGGACTTCAACTCCCAGAATTCCTGAGCCAGCCATGCTGAGGGGAAAGGGAGAGGTTTCCAAGCTGAGCCATGCTGGCTCAGGAATTCTGGGAGTTGAAGTCCATGAGTCATAAAAGAGCCAATGCCTATCCCTGACCTAAGACAACATTTTGGATCAGTAGAGACATCTGGGACTTTCTGTACGTTCTAACCACAGAATGGTTGGCTTGGTGTGTTTTGTGTATGAATCAAAGCAGGGGTGTCCACAAGGTCTGCTCAACAAAAATCAAGATGGCGGCAGCAACTGTAATCGAAGCTTTGCCTATTGTGTGCGTTGTACCCATTGCGTCTTCACTTTAAAATTAGACATGGCTATTAACGATCAACATCAGTTGAAAAACTCATTTCAAAGTTGACAGTTATCAAAGACATCAAATGGAGGAGCTGCATAGATACATGGCATCCTTATTTCATAAGGGATTTGAACCGATGCAATCTCCAATTTTTCAGCTAAGTCATATTGTATTTATTATTTATTTTATTTCAGAAAATTTATAGGGCCACCCAATTCACTCAATAACTCCAGGTGGCTTACAAAGATAAAAACCCAATATAAAAACCATAAAAAACAATCACTACCATCACCACCACCATCCTTGCTGCCCTGGCAACAACAGTCCGTCAATCAAATAAGCCGCTTGATGAGCTCCATTCTATCAATAATTAAAGGTTAAAACATTTTAAAGGCGCAAAAGAAAGCAGGATGGTAACCAAGGTAATTTTTCATACAACACCTGGACTTCTTTGTTTGCAGATCTGTGCAGTGAGATCCTGGAGATACCCTGGGAAATCTTCAAAACAATCCCCATAGGATACGACTTTTATGCCATGCACAAGCATATCGGCCTGAAATTTAAAGAACTGGTCTTCGTTTTCTTTGCGCACCAACATGTAATGTTCTAGTTCCACTTTGTTTTTAACCATGTAGAGAAAGAGAGCTTGAAAGATTTGATCACGCAGGGTCTCCCCACAGCCCACAAACAAAAAGGATTTCCTCCGGTATAGGTTCTGTAGTGCTTCCTATTAAAAAAAAACAACAAGAAGCAGTTACTCAATTAAATGTGTCATGAACTGTTTGGAGGCTGACCTCGTTTGAATTGAACTGGCAAAGTGCAAGACATACAAGACATAATCTTAGGCCAGGGAGACCTTAGCTAAGATCTCTCTACTGAATTAAGCACAGGGGCGGCCCACTGAGGAGTCAGTCTATCCCACTCTGATATCTAGGAAGCTGCGAAAGTAAAGATCCACTAGTCCTTCCCATGTCTGTCAAATGCTTCTCACATTATATGAATATGCTCTATAGCAGCTGTAGTGAACATAAAGTTTTAACTCACTTATCCTGGCCCAACTTGGCTGTGCCTAAATGGATCATTGTCCCAAAAGGATGCACAAATGCAATCCATCAGCTCTTCTCAGGGTACTTTTAAGGCACAGCTGACCTATAAGACTGCATGGTTCAACAATAAGAATAGCAACAGCATTAGCACTCGGACTTATATTCCGCTTTGTAACATTCTCTGAGAGGTTTACAATTGCCTCCAATAATCCGGGCACTCATTTTACCGACCTCGGAAGGATGAAAGTCAACCTTGGGCTGGTCAGAACCGAACTGCTGGCAATCGGCAGAGTTAGCCTGCAATACTGCATTCTAACCACTGCGCCACAGCTTCTCAATAAAAAAGTTTATCCAGCCTTTGGATCCACATACCATCACTTCAGGGTCTTGAGTCACTTCCTGGTACCCTGAGGGATCCAGCACCATTCCACAGGGATCAGTGTACAAACCGTGAATATGAAGGACACCATATCTGAGGAGACCTTTGGCCCACTGGAGAACCTGAAGAGAGACCAGCTATTCAGTAACACAACTTGCAGAAGGAGACTAGGCTTCACCAATCCAAGAGATGTATACATTTTGATGGCAGAGTTATTATGTCCTTGTTTGGTTGCTTCGTATACCATCTGGTAGCCACTGTGATGATCTCATGTATTTCATAACATAGTCATTCAAAGGTCAACTTATACAACTTGTGTGATGATGTTATGGCCCTCATGATGACCTCCCAACTCCTCACTACGGATGCCCAGAGAGTACACTGCAACCTTTAGGTTAGTATTTCTCAAACTTAGCAACAATAAGATGAGTAGACTTGAATTCCCAGAATCCCCCAGCTAGCCATGCACTGCCTAAATAACTAGCACTTTACCATCTTCTTGATGTTACCTAATTGAACCATCTCCAAGACTTCAAAGAAACAACCTTCTCTAGCTGCTTAAAAATTAAGATTTGTAAAGAGACTTGTAGCCAATGATATTAAAAGGGCATTAAAAAAACAACTATATAATTATTTAGCAAATGACACACCTTAAAACAGAAAGAATACCACATATCTAAAGATCCTGTGTAATGAAGAAGGTATCTCCTTTGAAGACTGCAATACAGTCTTCATTACAGAAGGATCTTTAGCTATATGGTGTTCTTTCTGTTTTAAGGTGTGTCGTTTGCTAAATGTTCTAAGGCAGCGGTTCTCAACCTATGGGTCGCGACCCCATTTGGGGTCGATCGACCATTTCACGGGGGTCGCCAAGCAAGGCTGTCCGCCATTTTTTCCCCCTTTTCCGGCGGGTGCCTTACCTCCCTTGAGCTGGGCCAGCTGGTGGTCGGCCTGCTCCGTCTCTGCCGCTTGCCAGCTACGCCTCGGCCGGCTTAGGGGGCGGAACCACGCATGCGCGGCGCTCCCGGGCAGGGAAAGTCCTCGACTTACGACCGGTTGGGTAGTCCTTGACTTACGACCGGTTTAGTCCTCGACTTACGACCGGTTTAATCCTCGACTTACGACCGATTGGGGGTCGCGGCATTAAAAAGATTGAGAACCACTGTTCTAAGGTGTGTCGTTTGCAGGCCACTATCAGGCGGCGACCTGTTTGAAACCAGGCCGCACGAGCGATGGGCAAGTGAAACTCCAGTTGTGTGAGCGGAAGGCACTTGTGCTCGTGCGTGAAGCTCCACTTGCATGAGCAGAGGGCACTCACGCGCAAAGCTCCATTTGCATAAGTGGAGGGCACACACACTTGCCGCTTGCACCAATCGAGCTGTGAGTGTGCACCTGCCACTTATGTTCCCCCCCCTGCCCCAGCATTGGGCTGGGCTGCCAAGCTGGACAGGTTGGGGACCGCTGCTGTAGGAGAAAAAGGAATATGGCAAAAAACATAACCTACCTTTTTCGCAGGCCAGTTCTATCAAAAACACCACAGGGTACCCTCAAACAAGTAAAACTGGCAGCCATTACTGTGATGCACATTAGAACAGCAGAGATTTGATTGCACCTTTGCGCTGCCATTTTTACCTTTTCGTACATTTCTCCTGATGTTCCTTATCTATTTCGATGAAATCTGAGAGATGGGACTGACCTTTCATATTTTCGAACAGAAGCTCGCAAATATGCAGTATTTATTGGTGACATCATACCTTGTCTTTATCTTTCAGGTCAAGCGATTCCATAGCTTTATGCTGCTGTTGCCCAAAGATTTCAAGTAAATTGTCATAATTGGTGGTCAGCACCATTGTGCCCCGTTCCATTAGTTGAAGGATGGACAAGAGGACAGCAGGATGCTGAATGTGTTGGTCCAAGTTGTCAAATACCTCCATTAAACAGTCCTGGAAAAAGTTGGGCTTAGCATCCCCGGTGCGCTGCGGAAGGAAACTGAACAGCTTCAGGGAAATGGAATGATTTATATCTTAAGACATTTTGGATGATGTTGGAACTGCAAAACATTTCCACATTGGACATGAGCTATTTTCAGGGCTACTCACTGCTCTTCAGACCATCTTATCCCCTGAAACTTTCAACATGCAACTCTGATTCTTCCAATGATGGGCCAAGAAATTATGTCATTAAGACAGTCTTTTTTCTACTTTAGGAGGCAACTAAACAGATTGATTTTTACCTGGGCATTCAGAGCAGTGGCTCTCAACCTGTGGCCCACGGACCCCTGGGAGGGCATGATGTCACCCCCACCCCTGCCCTAGCTTCATTTTTAGGTGTGTGCCTCGCCCCAAAACTAGGGCTTATTTTTGGGGTAGAGTTATATTGGGCCCATCCCCCAAAATCAAGCTAAGGTTTTCGGGGTAGGCCTTACTTTCAGGGAAACAGGGATATCTATCTGTCTGTCTGTCTGTCATAAGTCAAGGACTACCTACAATGGAAAGCCTGACTAGGGATACAGTCCCACTTACATCTTCACTTTCAAAGCAGGAATAACATTCACTTCAGACCCTTATCTGAGAAATGCTCACCGGTGACATCTTTCGGATTAAATCATGTGCAACCACAAGCAAATCTCGGTCTTTGGACACTTTTTGGCGGAAATCAGCCACGTCTCCAGGATGCAACACTTCTAGCTGGTCAGCTGCTTCAAGGACCGCTTCAATGCAACTCCGCCACGAACACAAGGCTGGGATTCCTGGCGCAACAGCAGCACTCACCCCGGTTCCAATGACTAGCAGGAGTTCTTGGGGCCGCTTCCGTATAAGGCTTTTCAAAAATTTCCTAAAGAGAAGTCCAGGAAAACTCTATTTTGTATCACAACTGCTGCATCTCTAGACAGTCACTTGATTATGTCGTAGATTAAAAATATCCAATCCCCTTACAGGAACAGGAAGACAGATTACAAAATAATTATGAGATTCTGGAATTAATAATGGAGGTTAATCAAGCCATCCAGAGCTGGCAGGAGTTGGGTGGGATACAAGTTCAATGGAAGAAAGGAAAGGAAAGAGGAAGGAAGGAGGGGAGGGGAGGGGAGGGGAGGGGAGGGAAGGAAGGAAGGAAGGAAGGAAGGAAGGAAGGAAGGAAGGAAGGAAGGAAGGAAGGAAGGAAGGAAGGAAGGAAGGAAGGAAAAAAAACAACTAGGACGGGGGGAAACCTTGCTGGATAAGCATGTACTATGTGCATCTTCCCATTTTAATTCTACCCTTGAGCTGAAAGGAGAAAAACAAAGATTACAGTACAGTAGCTTTAAAGGGCTCCAAAGTTGCCCTTATTTTAATAAACCAAATAGATTTTAGGGGTAATCAACAGGATGAAAAGAAGAGGTAAAGAATGGGCACAGTCTTGATTCATCTGGAAAAAGGACACGTGAAGAAGCAAGATTTTAAAAAAGAGGTTTCTGCTTTTAGGCGTTAAGGAATATCCTTTTGTGCCAAACAACTTGATGATTATGAAATGGCAACAGTAGTGAGCCAAATAAAAAAGCAAATGGAAAGGTGTTCTGTCTAGGAAAGGTGCTCTCTGAAATCGTCATCAATAATCATTTTCCCACAGAGGGGTTAAAAAAAAAGTCCTGCCCCACAACATCACATTTTAAAAATGCAGCGCTTCAACTGAGTGGTTGCGATTACCAGTTTTGTATGTTTTGACACACATACGCTTCCCAGGACCCCCCTGTTTACATATTATCAGGTTTAACCTTTTATTCATTTATTTACCTTGATTTTTGCTCCCTTTTATATGTCTTTTTTGAAGGCTCCATTCTCTTTCTCCCCTTCCTGCGAAGTAAGAATGCCTGGAGTCAGGGAGTTTTTTCATGAGCAGCTACACCAGCTGATGAGATTAATTGATTAAAAATGTAGTTCGATAAAACTCAAGACAAAGCAATTTGGACAACTTGGCAGGAACCTATCCTATCTAAGGCTATCGCAGTGATGGCGAACCTTTTAGAGACCGAGTGCCCAAACTGCAACCCAAAACCCACTTATTTATTGTCGGGTGCCAGGTGGGCGTGGTCCACTGAGTGGGCGTGGCTGTGGTGGTCATGGCAGATTGGGTTGGTGTGGTCAAGGTGGGCGTGATCACCTTGATGTTGCTCATGGGGAGGGATGCCTGTGGGGACCGGGCAGGGTTGGGGGAGATCCAGGGGGTCTCTGGCAGGTGGGGCGGTGGGCAGGAGGCTCATCCTATGGGGTGAGGTGAGGCAGGGCGGGGGTGCCATTGTCACAGGACAAGGTGAGGCAGGGGCCGGGGTGGCTGCTGCCTGACACCATTGGCCCCTGCACACAGAGGCCAGCGAGCGCATGGGTGCTGGGATGCATCCAGCCATGTGGGACCTCGGCGAGTTAGCGGGCGGCTGGTTGAAGAGGACGGTTGCCATCTCTGGGGCATGGCGCACGTGCCCACAGAGAGGGCTCTGAGTGCCGCCTCTGGCACATGTGCCATAGGTTCGCCACCACTGGGCTATCATATCTAGAATACAGCTGTATAGTGTCCTTCCAGGAGCCAAGTTTTTTGGCATGTCTTTGGTGCTACCAAAACGCCCCTCTGGATTTCAGCCCTTATTTTTCTTCCCTTCATAGGCCACCTACCTCCCCAACCCAAGGGAGGGTGGGCAAAAAAGAAAGAAAGAAAGAAAGGAAGGAAGGAAGGAAGGAAGGAAGGAAGGAAGGAAGGAAGGAAGGAAGGAAGGAAGGAAGGAAGAAAGAAAGAAAGGATGTGAATATTCATACCGTCCCTTCCTTGCTCCCGCTACAAACAGCAAAAAGAAAGAAAGAAAGAGAAATAAAGAGGACAAAAAGATAAGAAAGGGTAGCGATAGAACACTTGCCCTGACAAGGGAAGGAACAAGAAAAAAAAAAATCCCATTGAAATATTACAAATTGGGTTTAAATAATTTGTCATCAAAGTTTAATCTTTAATTGGTTCTGTTTTTCAATGGGGATAGCCACTGCTTCTTTAATCTGCACTCTCAATTCACAGCTGTCTAAAACAAATCTCATCTTCCGGTCATGTAACAGTAATACTGATGTCATTTAATTTTTATAACCAAGCTTTGCACAATGTTGCTATAATGTTCATTTTTTTTTGGTACTATGGCAGCTACACAATTCAGAACTATTAGATGACAGCCAAATATAAAGAAAACTTTGCCGGCATCTTGTGGTCATTTTAGGATTTGCAGCCCAACAAGCTGAACTTGATCTTGCAGTTTTAGAATTTAGAATAATAAGAGCTGGAAGGGATCTTAGAGGTCTTCTAGCCCACCCCATGATCGAGCAGGAGACCCCACGTCATGGCAGGTGTGCAGTTAATAAGTAGGCTGGCTCAACAGCGAAACCCTGGTGAAGCGGGCACAGCAGCACCTGCATTTTCTGCGTCGCATGAGAAAAGCACATCTTCCTTCTCCTATCCTGACCACTTTCTACAGGGGGACGATCGAGAGCATCCTGTCATACAGCATCACAGTCTGGTTTAGAAGCATCCCTGCTTCAGACAGGAAGGCGGTGCAGAGAGTTGATTATAATAACAGTTAACAGAAGGTTTTGAAATTTTAATCTTGTCTTTTTTATCATTACTGTTCTTCCTGTTAACTATTTTGTCATTAATATAGTATATAGAAGACAGGTTAATAATTTGCAAATAAAATTAGTAGTCTAGAGGTTTAAAACTTTTTGGGTCTGTTTCGCAAAGGGTGGGGAAATAATATTGTTGTAATATATTAATCAATATTCAACTGGGGGGATATGTGTATAGGTATTAGTTTTTTAATGCACTTTTTAAATGTTTGTTTTGTGTTTTTTATTTGTCTCCTTCAAACAAATTTGGTGTCTCGTATTTTAACTTTTTTTTTTAAATAAAATAAAAATAGATGGAAAGAAAAGGAAATTTCTCCTTAGTTCTAGGTTGCTTCTCTCCTTGGTTAATTTCCATCCGTTGCTTCTTGTCCTGCCCTCAGGTGCTTTGGAAAATAGGTTGACCCCCTCTTCTCTGTGACAGCCCTTCAAACATTAGAAGACTGCTATCGTGTCATCATCCTGTCATTTTGGCAAGCTACCTTTTACCTACTTTATAAGAAAAAGGGAGTTTCCAGGAACTGAATCAGCAACTGAAGTCAGAACTGTTACTTGTTTCTTTTGACCAAGGACATCGGCCACACGGTCTCTGGCAAGGCTCTGGAAGCAATAGAAAAACCAAGAGTTCAAAGCAAAGAATAATAATAAATAATAATAATAATAATAATAATAATAACAACAACAACAACAACAACAATAATAATAATAAAGTTGGAAGGGACCTTGGAGGTCATCTAGTCCAACCCCCTGCTCAGGCAGGAAACCCTATACCATTTCAGACAAATGGCTGTCCAGTCTCTTCTTAAAAACTTCCAGTGTTGGAGCATTCACAGTTTCTGGAGGCAGGTTGTTCCACTGGTTAATTGTTCTAACTGTCAGAAAGTTTCTCCTTAGTTCTAGGTTGCTTCTCTCCTTGATCAGTTTCCATCCGTTGCTTCTTGTCCTGCCTTCAGGCGCTTTGGAAAATAGCTTGACTCCCTCTTCTTTGTGGCTGCCCCTGAGATATTGGAAGACTGCTATCATGTCCCCCCTCGTCCTTCTCTTCATTAAACTAGACATACCCAATTCCAGCAGCCTTTCCTTATATGCTTTAGCTTCCAGTCCCCTAATCATCTTTGTTGCTCTTCTCTGTACTCTTTCTGGAGTCTCAACATCTTTTTTACATCGTGGAGACCAAAACTGGATGCAGTATTCCAAGTGTGGCCTTACCAAGGCATTGTAAAGTGGTATTAATACTTCACGTGATCTTGATTCTATCCCTCTGTTAATGCAGCCCAGCACTGTGTTGGCTTTTTTGGCAGCTGCAGCACACTGCTGGCTCATATTTAAGTGATTGTCCACTAGGACTCCGAGGTTCCTCTCAGTTACTATGACAATAATTCTTGAGTCGAAACAAAAGCTGCGTTCACATATTGGACTTAAACCAGCCTTAATTTGTTTACGCTTTGGATGAACATGATGCAGCCTAAAAACTGTGGTATTCAGCTGAGTAAAGGTGCCTAGGGGTATGATCCAAACGGTCAAGATGACCCATTTCCTGTCCCACAACCTAGAAGGGGAAAGTCCCCAAAATCCTTGACGGTTTCACCTGGTTACCAAAGAAAGAAAAAAGAAAGTTCCTCCTTTTTTTGCTCCACCTTGTCAAAGGAGGAAGTGAAGAAGACTGGGCGGGGGAGAGAAGAGTCCCCCAGATTGTGGGGTGGGGGATTCTGGCTCCAGTGAAACTCCAGCTGCGTCTGATCTGGAGCAGGAAAATCTGGCAGAATTTGCCTTGGCACAACAAGATGGCAGCCATTTTCTTGACCCCCCTCTCTTTGCTGGAAGAAGAGGTCCTGAAGAGAGAGGGCAGGGTCCCCACTGGTTCTGGGGCTCAACCAGATGGAAGAGGCTATAGACCAGCCCAAGGTTGACTCAGCCTTCCATCCTTCTGAGGTTGGTAAAACGAGGACCCAGATTGTTGGGGGAAAGATGCTGACTCTGTAAACCGCTTAGAGAGGGTGGTAAAGCACTGTAAAGCGGTATATAAGTCTAAGTCAGTGGTTCTCAACCTTTTTAATGCCGCGACCCCAAACGGTCGTAAGTCGAGGACTAAACCGGTCGTAAGTCAAGGACTAAACCGGTCGTAAGTCGAGGACTACCCAACCGGTCGTAAGTCAAGGACTTTCCATGCCCGGGAGCGCCGCACATGCGTGGTTCCGCCCCCCTGTGCCGGCCGAGGCGTAGCTGGCAAGCGGCAGAGACGGAGCAGGCCGACCACCAGCTGGCCCAGCCCAAGGGAGGTAAGGCACCCGCCGGAAAAGGGGAAAAAATGGTGGACAAAAAAAAATGGCGGACAGCCTTGCTTGGTGACCCCCGTGAAATGGTCGATCGACCCCAAATGGGGTCCCGACCCACAGGTTGAGAACCACTGGTCTAAGTGCTATTGCTAGACAGTTAGGCAGAAGTGTCTCAAAACACTTCTGCTCTCTCCTTTCTGCTTCTTCTGGGGGATTCTTAAATGGTGTGTATGTGTGTGTGTGTGTTGTGAGAGGGGTGGAGGGAAATCTGGGCTCATCCTGGGGGCAGCGCAGGCCGTTGGAACAGCTTCTTTGCCAGGCCAGTTCAGGGTTGTGCGCTCAGAGCC